AATCCAAGTCATTCGAGAAAAATCATCTACAAAGGTGACAAAATACTTATGCCCAGTTTTGGAAACAACGGGACATGTCCCCAAACATCAAAATGAACTAACTCAAAAGCTGACTCAACTCGTTTATTAACCCTTGGACTTAACGAGATGCGATGGTGTTTTGCAAATCGACATGACTCACAATCCAATGAAGAAATATTATGAAACTGAGGACAAAGCTTCTTCAACAAAGGCAGAGAGGGGTGTCCCAATCGACAATGTGCTTCAAAGGGAGACACAACACTAGAGCATGCAATAGACCGTGGCTCCCATTCATCAAGGATGTAGAGATCACCAGATAAATATCCTTTACCAATAACCTGTTTTGTTGTAAGATCTAGAAACAAACAATGATCGGGAAAGAATGCAACACAACAATTAAGGTCTTTGGTGATTTTACTAACAGAAATCAAGTTAAAGGCCAAGTTTGGTAGACTTAATACTGATGACAGGGTAATAGAGGAAGTTGGTTTAACAGTCCCAGATCCAACACTGCTACAAGTTGATCTATCAGCTACAGTAACTGGAGAGGGTGCTTTATGTGAGCGAAAGCTAGAAAAAATATTTGGATTACCTGTCATGTGATTTGTGGCACCTGAATCGATCACCCATTTATTGGAAGATGTGATAAGACATGTTTTATCTGATCTAGTAAAGGCAGTAACTGAAGAAGATTCCTTATCTGATTTATGATTTTGAAGGAATTTTAGAAACTCATCCGAAACCAGATTGTGGACTAGGAGTTGTTGCACTATTATTCTTTACCATCATTTTTTTCTTTGAATAACAAACCGATTAAACTAACAGAGGTCCCCAAAGCTAAAAGATACCAAAATAGATCTCTGGTAAACACGAAGTCAACAATCTATTTAACAGAACTCCACTCCAATAATCCACTCAACCAAATCAGAGAACCAAACAAATCTGTCCCCAAATCAAATAAAATCAAAGACCAACAAAGTTTCTGATAAGGGAAGACCCAACAGATAATATCAAGTCTCAAATTGTAACAAATCGTCTTACAAGGAAGACTCAACAAATACCAATTCACAAGACAAGCAATCAGATGCAAGAATATTGTTCCACGACTACTTCAGTATCCCAAAAACAAACCAAACAGTAGAAGAACTCAAACCTGACCAAAATTGGTGTAATACAACCTTGTCCGAGTCTGTTCTTCACGAAAATAAGGTTATGTTATCAGACGATAACCAACAATCGATCGAAAATACAAGCTGATCTCGGAGAACAAAGCTGGACAAAGAATGGACCACACACGCACCTCACGTGTCTGCCGGAAAGTTTTGGTCAACTCCGGCGAGACAAACTCAACTCCGGCGAAGCCACAGATGTGGCTCTGATACCATGTAATTAACAAGGTATGGAAGAATCAAATTGGTGTATTATTCCATGTAGTGATACATATATATACATGTACATCAGGTGCTAACTAAGGAAAGAAAATAAAAGAGATTCCTACAAATCTGCTATCTATATATGGGTTATGTACACTACTAAGAAACAGTCTATGTTTATTGTGTAAAGTGTCTAGGTTCATTATGTAATACCTTGGATAATAGATCTAAGGTACTTGAAACTCCCTTTCTTAGGGATGACTTGTGAATCCAGCTCACTTCCACGTCCACGTCCGTATCATGAGTCACGTCGCTGCACTTGCATTCCAAGTACTCTATTTTAGTCCCGCTCATCTGGAAACCTTTTGACTCCAGGGTGTGTCTCCAAACCTCCATCCTCGCATTAACACCACCTCGCATTTCGTCAATTAGTACTATATTATCTGCAAATAACATCTACCATGGCACCTCCACTTGAATGTGCGGCATAAGCATATCCATCACCAAGGCAAATAAAAATGGGCTAAGCGCAGATCCCTGATGCAAGCCCATTCCGACAGGGAAGTGTTCCGGGTCTCCTCCGGCCGTCTTAACCTGGGTCTTAGCGCCATCATACATATCCTAGATCACCCTAGTATAAGCTACGCCTCTACAGGCACACCTCTAACCTCCAAACACCTCCAAAAAGACCTCCCTCGAAACTTTGTTATAAGCTTTCTCTAGGTTAATGAACACCATGTGCAAGTCCTTCTTCCTATCCCTATACTACTTCACCAGTCTCCTAATAAGGTGAATGGCTTCAGTAGTCGGTCGCCCCGACATGAATCCGAACTGGATTTCGGAAATAGATACACTAGTCCTCACCCTAACTTCTATAGTTCCACCACCCTCTCCTAAACTTTCATGGTGTGACTTAGCAGCTTGATGCCCCTATAGTTGTTGCAATTTTAGATATCCCCCTTATTTTTGTACACCGCAGTCATCGTACTCCACCTCCATTCTGCAGGTATCTTCTGTTAGCATAATGGACAGATTGTAGAATATCTACATTAATACATTCTCGATATGGTGAATATATGGGATATTATTAGGGATATTCTACATTTAGTGTAGAATATTGTGTAGCATTAGTTGTAGAATATATGAAGAATATTTTGTAGGATTTACATTTAGTGTAGGATATTTTCTCTTGTGTATAAATACCAATGTATATGATGTATTTGAATCAAGTAATGGAGATAGTCATTCTTCAATTTCTCTCATGCTTTCTTTGTTCTTGACATGGTATTAGAGCCTTCTTTTCAAAGTTTTGATTCTTAGTGTCTTTCATATGTGGTTCCATTCAATATATATATATATATATTTGAAAGTTTAGTTCTCTTGGTTCTCTTGATTTTTCGTCAACAGGCAGTCCTAAGCATCTAGGGCTTTTGGTCTTGGTCTTAGTCTTGATCTTGGTTATTCTAGCTATTTTGTTTTCCGTATCATTGTGTTTTTTGATTTTCTCTATTAAAAAACATGACTTCACATCAGTTTGAGTCCTTCAGTGTTCGTTTCACTGGGAAAAATTATTCTGCTTGGGAATTTCAGTTTCAATTATTTGTCACGGGAAAAGAATTATGGGGCCATATAGATGGAAGTGATCCTGCTCCTACTGATCTTACAAAGTTAGGTCAGTGGAAGGTCAAAGATGCTCGGGTGATGACATGGATTTTAGGGTCAATTGACCCTCTTATTGTTCTTAATCTCAGGCCGTACAAGACTGCAAAGGCCATGTGGGATTATTTACAAAAGGTTTACAATCAAGACAATAGCGCAAAACGATTTCAGCTAGAGCACGAAATCGCTAATTACTCTCAAGGAGGTCTCTCTGTTCAGGATTATTTTTCTGGATTTCAGAACTTATGGGCTGAATTTACTGATATTGTTTATGCTAAAATACCTGCTGAATCTCTATCTATAATTCAAGCAGTTCATGAGCAAAGCAAGCGAGACCAATTTTTGATGAAATTGCGATCTGATTTTGAGAGTGTTCGCTCTAACTTAATGAATCGTGACCCGCCTCCCTCCTTGGATGTTTGTTTTAGGGAATTACTTCGTGAAGAGCAGCGTCTTTTCACACAAAATGCTTTCAAGCAAGAAAGTGTTCATACTGTTGCATTTGCTGCTCAAGGAAAAAGAACGGCAGGGATATGAGCACCACGCAATGCTACAGTTGCAAAGAATATGGTCATATTGCTAGCAATTGTAGTAAGAAGTTCTGCAATTATTGTAAGCAGCACGGGCATATTATCAAAGAGTGTCCCACACGTCCTCAAAACCGTAAGATCAATGCTTTTCAAGCTGGGATAAATGGTTCGACTGATGATCACTCATCTTCAACTGGAACTAGCAACCAGTTTGCTATTCCAACAGTTGGACAAGTTCTTACTCCTGAAATGGTACAACAAATGATTGTGTCAGCCTTTTCAGCTTTGAGGCTACAAGGTAACGATATTACATCTAATTTTTGGCTTGTTGATTCTGGCGCTTCCAATCATATGACAAACTCAACTAGCATGCTAAAAAATGTACGTGACTATCATGGTCCATCACAAATTCAGATTGCGAATGGTAGTAATTTACCCATTACCAAGGTTGGGGATATTACTCAAACTTTCAAGAATGTTTTTGTATCACCAAAACTCTCAACTAGTCTTATTTCAGTTGGCCAATTGGTAGATAATAATTGTGATGTGAATTTTTCTCGTAATGGTTGCCTTGTGCAGGATCAGGTGTCGGGGACGATAATCGCGAAGGGGCCTAAAGTTGGAAGATTGTTTCCTATACGTTTTTCCATTCCTCGTGTTCTGTCTTTTGCTTGTACTTCTACAGCTAGTAAAACGGAGGTTTGGCATAAGCGTCTTGGACATCCAAATTCTATAGTGTCGTCTCATTTATCAAATTCTGGTTTATTGGGAAATAAAAATTAGCTTTTAGCTGCTTCATTTGATTGTTCTACTTGTAAATTAGGCAAAAGTAAAACTCTTCCTTTTCCTAATTTTGGTAGTCGTGCTAAAAAGTGTTTTGATGTCATTCACAGTGATGTTTGGGGCATTTCACCAGTTATTTCTCATGCTCATTTCAAGTACTTTGTGACATTCATAGATGATTATAGTCGGTTTACATGGGTGTATTTTCTTCGTTCCAAATCTGAGGTATTTTTCATATTCAAGACATTTTTGGCTTACATTGAGACTCAATTTTCTACATGCATCAAAATATTAAGATCTGATTCTGGTGGAGAATATATGTCTCATGAATTCAATAATTTCTTGCTTGAGAAAGGAATCGTCTCACAACGCTCTTGTCCATATACACCACAACAAAATGGGGTTGCTGAGCGTAAAAATCGTCATCTTTTAGATGTAACTCGTACTTTATTGATTGAGTCCTCTGTCCCATCTAAATACTGGGTGGAAGCTTTGTCTACTGCTGTCTATTTAATTAATAGACTGCCATCTAAAGTGTTAAATCTTGAGTCTCCATATTATCGTCTTTATCACCATAATCCTAGCTATCATAATTTTCATACATTTGGTTGTGTTTGTTTTGTGCATCTGCCTCCTTTTCAACGCAATAAACTTTCTGCTCAGTCTGCTAAATGTGCTTTTATGGGTTATAGTACTTCGCAGAAAGGGTTTATTTGCTATGATCCAAGTTCCGACAAATTTCGTATTTCCAGAAATGTTGTTGTCTTTGAGAATCAATATTTCTTTCCCACTCATGTTGAGTCAACTTCTGTTTCTCCGCTTCTTCCTACTTTTGAGGATTTCTCATCTTCTTCTAAACGGTTCAAACCCGGATATGTGTATGAACGACGTCGCCCAACTTTACTCTATTGCGAAACTGATCCGCCGCCTGAGACTGCTCCACAACCAGAATATGAGATATCTTCAAGGCCTGCTCCTCTTGAGCCTACTCGGCGATCTACCAGAGAACGAAATACTCCTAATTGGTATGGCTTTTCATCTACTTTATCCACTATTTCTGTTCCAACTTGTTACTCACAAGCTTGCAAGCATGAATGTTGGCAGAAAGCAATGGAGGAAGAACTTTTGGCTCTTAAAGAAAATAACACATGGGACATTGTTTCATGTCCTTTAAATGTCCGCCCAATTGGATGTAAATGGGTTTATTCAATTAAACTTCATTCTGATGGAACTCTAGATCGGTACAAAGCTCGCTTGGTTGTTCTTGGTAACAAACAAGAGTATGGTGTGGATTATGAGGAGACTTTTGCACCAGTAGCAAAAATGACTACGGTGCGAACTATTATTGCCATTGCTGCCTCACAGAATTGGCCTCTTCATCAAATGGATGTAAAAAATGCTTTTCTCCATGGTGATCTGAAAGAAGATATTTATATGAAACCCCCACCTAGTTTGTTTTCATCACCTACATCAGATGTTTGCAAGTTGAAGCGGTCTTTGTATGGATTAAAACAAGCTCCCAGAGCTTGGTTTGACAAGTTTCAATCTACTTTGCTTCACTTCTCTTTTGAACAAAGTAAATATGACTCATCTTTGTTTCTTCGAAAAACATCTACAGGTTGTGTTCTTCTTCTGGTATATGTGGATGACATCATTATAACAGGAACTGATTCTTTATTAATCACTAGCCTCCAACAACAACTTAAGGATTCTTTTCACATGAAAGATCTTGGTACTCTAACATATTTCTTGGGGTTGGAAGTTCATTATAATTCTTTAGGTGTGTTCTTAAACCAGCACAAATATACTCAGGATTTGATTGCTTTGGCTGGTCTTCAAGAATCTTCCTCTGTTGATACTCCATTGGAATTGAATGTAAAGTATCGTCGCGATGAAGGGGATCTTCTTCCTGATCCAACTTTGTTTCGACAATAAGTTGGGAGCCTAAATTATCTTACTATTACTCGGCCTGATATCTCTTTTGCAGTTCAACAAGTCAGTCAATTTATGCAGACTCCTCGTCACCTACATTTGGTGGCAGTTCGTCGCATCATTCGATTTCTCTCAGAAACATCAACTCGTGGATTATTCTTTCCTAGTGGTTCTCCTATTCAGCTTAATGCATTTAGTGATTCTGATTGGGCTGGATGTCCTGATACTCGCCGCTCCGTCACGGGATGGTGCATGTTTCTCGGAGATTCTTTGATATCTTGGAAGATCAAGAAGCAAGATCGTGTTTCAAAATCTTCAACGGAGTCTGAATATCGAGCAATATCGACTGCTTGCTCCGAAATTATTTGGCTTCGTGGTTTACTTGCAGAAATTGGATTTCCTCAATCTAATCCTACTCCTCTCCATGCTGATAACACAAGTGCCATTGAGATTGCAACCATCACGAAAGAACCAAGCATATTGAAGTGGATTGTCATTCTATAAGAGAAGTTGTAGATAGAAGAGTTATTACTCTTCCACATGTATCCAGTGATCTTCAAATAGCTGATGTGTTTACAAAATCAATGGCACGACAGCGTCATCAGTTTCTAGTAGGCAAATTGATGCTTTTCGATCCACCAGCATCAATTTGAGGGGGGATGTTAGCATAATGGACAGATTGTAGAATATCTACATTAATACATTCTCGATATGGTGAATATATGGGATATTCTACATTTAGTGTAGAATATTGTGTAGCATTAGTTGTAGAATATATGAAGAATATTTTGTAGGATTTACATTTAGTGTAGGATATTTTCTCTTGTGTATAAATACCAATGTATATGATGTATTTGAATCAAGTAATGGAGATAGTCATTCTTCAATTTCTCTCATGCTTTCTTTGTTCTTGACAGGATATATTTAGGAATAGTGACTCAACCTCCCAAGCACTTTAACACATCACATGATAACTTAAGTGCAATTTCTTCAATCCCAACTTTAATTTTTCAACAAAACTCACTCCCAACAACATTCCCTTTCTCTTTAAGCACTACCTTAATGTATTTCCCACTAGCAAGAATAGGACAACAATTTATTCACTTTTCCTTATCTCTTTTTTTTTCAGATTTTGTTTTTCTTTTCCAAATTTCGCTAGTGGTGTATTATTTTACAGAATAAGTGCACCCTTCTTTCTTTCATTGGTTCCACTCAAAAGCCACCCCGCTCTTAGTTCCTTCTTACTTCTTTTAGCGCTCATCTCACGATTAAAGTGCTTTAAGAGGAAAAAGGGATCAAAACAATGCCAATTAAGAACAAAAAGGGTATAGGCTTGTAATGTGGGTGCCAAATAAAAGTCTATAGGCTCAAAAGGGTAACTAGGGATATAATTTATCTGTGGTAAGCAATTAAGCTCAAAAAGATCAAAGAAAATCTAAAATCCTTTTTCAAACCGAGCATCACCTAAAATTTCGCTTCGACTCACAAATCGGGCAAGTTCTAGACACAAGTACAATACATGAACTACACAAAAACCTCACCATACATGGCATATGACTCATTCCAGATCAACTCATCGAGACACTCCATTATGAGCATTCAAGTCAGTGACAAACATACAAATTAAGGCACTTTAGCGAAATTCAACCAATAAGACTAAGCGTTACACTCTAGTTTCTGTTGTGTTCAGGTGCGTCAACGTTATAGGTTCTCTTTTGATTCTCTAGCTCGTGTGCCCATTAAACCTAATCTACAAATCAAAAAGAAAAGAAAATAACTATAAAAAAACTACATATACCCGGTTCAAGTTTAAACCCTTGGAAAAGAACCGTGGCCCAAAGAAAAACCAAGGGGGAGTTACTACACTACCTAAAAAAAAAAAAGTTAAAAATCTTTTTGGTATTTTTCTAGAATAACTTCCCTCAAGAAAATTGTCCAAAGGATCCGTCATCAGGAAGAGTCTTTTTGGTATTTTTTTATTTTTTGTTGATCGATTTAGTCCCTCAAGAAACCCGCCGAAAGAGATCCGTCGTCGGGACAAGCCACTTACCTAGTTTAAACTAATGAACTAACTAATGAACTCTTCCTAAATTACTAAAACTGTCAAAACCAAACAAAATAAAACTAAACAAGCATACACACGATTTGTACAACTACATATATACACTGAAGTATCCCCCTCACTCCACACTTAAAATTGTGAAATGTCCTCAATGCACACTAAAAATAACAAGAGGGTAAAAGAGACTCCCTGGTAGGCCAAAGGCCGAAGCATTAGCAGCTCACGGGATACTCAGACTTCTCCCAGGTACGATCCTTTGTGCGGTCACTCCACACTTATTTTCAACCACCTACACGCTTTTGCACATGCCTATGGCTTTGCTCCCTATGCTCAAAATCCTACAAAATAAAACAACACTACAAAAATAATACAATAAGAAAAAAATCAAAAATAAAAAGAAAGCAGTAAAGCTGGGTTGCCTCCCAACAAGCGCCTAATTTAACGTCGCGGCACGATGTGAACCACTTTTTCCTCCACCTTGAACTTATGAATTGTACCCCTAACATG